CGCCAGCCGCATCGGCGGGGACCAGGGCTGGTGGAAAGGCGAGACCAACGGACGGGTGAGCGGCCATCCTGACCTGCGGCTTCTCGCTGTTGGATGCTGCGCTGTAGCTCCGATGTGGGCAGGCTTGGGCAGGCTCACGGCACGGCCACGACTGCCTGAGGCCCCATACCAGGCACCTTCTGACTGTGGGCTCCTTTGTCCTCACAGCAGCCCAGAGGCTGGTGTCTGCAGGGCAACCGAGGCTTCATGCTTCCTGTGAGCTCGAGACCATGGAGCTGGGGATCACTACATGAGTCAGGTCTGGGTCCAGCCTCTGAGACCCTGCACCTGTGCTCAGTCCTTTTCTTCACCGGCCACTCTTGGCAATGCAAGGAGGTTTTGTGCACATCTGCAAACCACTTGCAAGTCTCCCAGCCTCGCCAGGGAAGGAGGCCGCGGGACTGAGCTAGGACCCAGCTGTCCTTGTTGGGGTCCACTCGCCCTTTTCCTTCTTTTCTCTCTTTTTTTCCTTTTCTAGAGATGTTTGATATAGGACATGTGTGCTTGCTGGAGAGACAGAGACAGAAAGTGAGAGATCACCTCCCCAGGGGGGATTGGCCACACCACAATCCCATCTCCATTTTCCTCTCAAGATTATGGGCACATATGTGCACATACACACACATGCCCAGCGTGAATTTTAAGCTGCTGAGTCCAGGGCTCAAACTGTGGTCAACTACATGGGAGTCCAGTGATGCAAACATTCAGCCGACTGCTGGCCCCTCTTTTTATTTATGTATTTATTTATTCATTCATTCATTTCTCCATTCATTCATTCCTCCATTCTCTTCTCAGGATTTTGGGTACACACACACATGCACCTGGTGTGAATTTTAAGCTGCCGGTCTGGGATGCAAACTGTGGTTGACTGTGTGGGAGTCAGTGACATAACCACTACATCATCTGCTGGCCCTCCTCTTGCCCATTTCTAAGGCCCCACTTAAGTCCTAGTAAGGTGGGAAAGGAGACACCAGGCCCTACCCACTTCAGCCCTGGCTGTGACCCAGGTCTCCCAGAACACACCCTTGCAGGCCCCACACTCCATGTACAATTCAGAAGTGCCAGCTGTCCTTGGGAGCTGCAGCTCCATGGGTGGGTGCTGTAGGCAACAGAAAGTTAGTTGGCTTTTGCTCTCAGGACCAGCCATTCTACTGCAGGTGACAGGAGCTGACCTGCCTGATCTAGCACAGGGTCTGTCCCTTGGAGGTGCTCGGCCCCAATCCATTTCCCCCAACTGACCCTCAGAACTGCGATGGTTCTGGAGCATCTGAGCTGGGGGCTGTGGCTGCTGGCTTTCAAAGTGGCTGGTGTGTCACTAACATTGAAAGCACTGGGTGGTGATTTAAAAGTATCCGCATACCTGGGCACTCACACATACCCAGGTGATTCCTATATAGAGTGAAGTTCTAGAACCACTGATTTGAGTGTTGTTAAATAATTCCTGTTGACATGACCCTTGTTATCATTATGAAATGGCTCTTTTCATCTCTGGTAATACTTCTTATGTAAAGTCTATTTAATCTGTTGTTAGCATGGCGTCATCAAGTGTCGTTTGGTTTAGTGTTTTGTATGGCATTCTTTTTTTTCTCTTGTGCTACTTTAAAAAAATTATTTTTAGAGTTTTTGCTATAGGGCGTATGTACTCGTTAGAGAGACAGAGACAGAAAGCAAGAAATCACCCCCCAGGGGTGATGGCCACACTGTAGACCCTTCTCCTCCATTCTTCTCTTGGGATTTTGGGTACGCATGCACATGTGCCTGGTATGAGTTTCAAGCTGCTGGGTCCAGGACTTGAACCACGGTTGACTACATGGGAGTCCAGTGATGTAACCATTACCTCATTTGCTGGTCCCTCTTATGCTACTTTTAACTTTTATCTTATATTACGTTGGGTCCTACAAACAATTGTTTTTGTTTTTTTTTTTGTTTTGAATGCATCTCACCGGACAGTCTTTGCCTTTTAATAGACACATGTAGTCCATTTACATTTAATGTAATTACATGATAGTTAGGCTTAAATCCCTTCTCTAACTTTATTTTCTATCTATTGTATCTATTCTTCTCCCCACCCTCCACCACCCCGCCATCCCACACCCATTTTCTCTTGCTTTTGGATTAGTTCTCTGTTCCATTTCCCATCCCTTTGATCGGTTTACTATTTTACTATTTCTTAAGTTGTTACTTTACAGTTACAACACACATTTTGATTTCTTTGAGATTCCCAAAAATCAATATTTTTTCTACTTCAAAGACAATGAAAGACCTTGCAACATTTTTTTTCTTTCTTTCTTTCTTTCTTTTTTTTTTTTTTTTTGAGAGGTTTTTGCTATATGGCGCGTGTGCTTGCCAGACAGACAGAGAGAGACAGAGACAGAAAGCGAGAAATCACCCCCCAGGGGGGATGGCCATGCCGCAATCCCTTCTCCTCCATTCTCCTCTTGGGACCTTGGGCACACACGCACACACGCCTGGAATGAGTTTTAAGCCACTGGGTCCGGGATATGAACTGCGGTTGACTACATGGGAGTCCAGCGACATAGCCATTAAGCCCACTGCTGGTCCTGACCTTGCAACATTTAATTGTTTATCCTCCCAGTTTTTGTGCAAGTGCCACCATATAATTCTACATATTTCACACCCCCAGCTTTGTTCATGTAGAATTACCACTTATTTATTTTTCCCAGGGAAATGTCTTCATTCTTTCCTGTTGCCTCACATTTACTCTTTAGTAGGTTTTTTTAGAATGAGTCTGCTAATAATAAAGTCTCAGTTCCTCTGGGATTTAAAAACATCTCTTTTAGAAGTTTGTTGAGAGAGGGACCAGCAGGTGGTGTGGTGGTTAAGAGCACTGGACTCTCACATGGCCAACCACAGTTCGAATCCTGGACCTGGTGGCTTTCTCTCTCTCTCTCTTTCTCTCTCTCTCCCCCCCACCCCTCCACCCCCAGTTAAATTAAAATAAATAAATAAAGTTCAACAATTAAAAACAAAATATTATTGACAGAGAGGCAGGTACCCCCAGCAGTGTCTCTCATATGCTTTGATCCTCTTCCCAGCACTCCAGTCAGCCAAGGTTATGGGTGCTCCCACAGGCATGCCAAATCCAGGCCTTCCCAATATGGCCCCAGCACCTTGGAGCAATATCCTACCATCTACACCACTGGTTGGACTTCAAAACATCTTTATTTCACTTTTTTTATAATGTTCTCATTGTAAAACATTGTTTTTATACCCTTGGAAACTTAAAGAAAAGTTGCAGTAGTATAGAGATCTCCCATAGTTTACCCTGAAGTGTTTCCTAGATGGAGGACACTTCCCTTCGACTAATGCAACAATCGACCTTCAGTTCCTTCAGCCTCCCTTACCTTCCCCAGGGCTCCTCATCCTTGTGCATTGTGGGTTTCCATTTCCCTGCTGCCTCGCACTCTCTTTTTTGGTTTCCCTTTCAAATTTCATGATTTGTCCCAATATCTTCTCCAACTGTTTATCCTGGTGATAGATCCAGCCCGGACATTGCATTTGTTTGCTATGACCCTTCACCCTCTTTAATCTGGAGCACTTTGGTCTTTATCTGTCTTACTTGGCTTTGATGTCTTAAAAGAGCTATTTGTTTGTTTTACAGAATTATAGGGCATGTGCTTTCACCAGCTATAGACATGAGAGAGAGAGAGAGAGAGAAAGTGAGAAATGACCTCCCAGGAGGGACGGCCACTTTACAATCCCTTCTCCTCCATTCTCCTCTCAGGATTTTGGGCACACATTCACACACGCCCAGTGTGTTTTTAAAGTTGCCATATCTCGGACCTGGGACACTCAGTCGGCTATACGGGATCCAGTTGCCTTCCCCTCCATGTCACCTACTGCCCTGGGCCAGATATTTTCGTAAACTATCCCCCTGCATTTGGTTCATTAGATGTTTCCTCTTGACTAGTTTGAAGTAATACATCTTTGGTGGGAGCACCATGATGGGGATGTCATCCGTTTGCCAGTGCTATAGTGACCTAGAAGAAAGAATGCGAAGCCAGCTTGTCTCATTATTTGTGACATGTGTGACCATTTGGTTAAAGTGTGTCTGCCAGGTTTCTCTACTGTGACGTTACTGTAATAAGTAATTTGCAGGGTACTATTTCGAGTTCAGGTAAATATCCTGATATTTACCGGTATTTTTCTACGCAAAAATGTGTTATGACTTTCCCGACAACTCAATATTATTTATATCATTTTATGGGTTTCCATTCTTTTTTTTTCTTTCTGGTTTTCCATCTAGCTATTTTTCTCATCCAACTTTCAGCCACTAGTTTTACTATTCACTGATGTATTTTGTTCGTGTCCCGGACCCAGTGGCTTAAACTCACACCAGGTGCGTGTGCGTGCGTGCCCAAGATCACGAGAGGAGAATGGAGGAGAAGGGATTGTGGTGTGACCATCCCCCCTGGGGGGTGATTTCTCACTTTCTGTCTCTCTGTCTCTCTCTGTCTGTCTGGCGAGCACACGCGCCCTATAGCAAAAACCTCTTCAAAAAAAGAAAAACAATCAAACAAATAAAAAACCTCATGCCGTGTGTGTGTGTGCCCAAAATCCCAAAAGGAGAATGGAAGAGAAGGGAATGCAGTGTAGCTATCCCCACCCCCAGGGGGGTGATTTCTTGCTTTCTCTCTCTGTCTTTCTCTGTCTCTCTGGTGAGTGCACATGCCCTATAGCAAAAATCTATCCCCCCCAAAAAAAATCAATTTTACTATGATGAATTTAGGTGTGATTTTCTCTTTATTTTTTCTTGAGATATGTAGAGAGATTTGAATCTGTGGCTTGATGTCCATCAGTTTTAGTGATTTCTGCAGATAGTGTGTCTGCTTCATTTTCTCTTTTCTATCCTATAAGGGCTTCATTCACATGGATACTAGATCTTTTTGCCATGGCACATATATTAGGTTGTTGGGAAAGTCATGATTTTTTTCTTTCATGATGTATTTTTTCTATACAAAAAGGTGTCATGACTTTCCCAGCAACTAAATATTATTTATACTATTTTATATGCTTTCCATTCTTTTCCCCCCTGGTTTTCCATCTAGCTATTTTCTCCTGACCCGTCTTCCAGATCAGTAGTCTTCTCTTTTGCATCGTCTAACCTGTTGTTAAATCCCTCTGTTGGAGTCTTAATTTCAATTTTATTTTTCAGTTCTTGGCTGTTTGATTTCTGATTTTCACACTCTGATAAAACTCTGCCCTTTCAGTGGTTTTCTTAAGCATACATAGAGAAGTTTTTTTCCATCTTCTGACTGGTGATTCAGTGCCTATCAGTTGGTTATTTATTATCTGCATTTTCTCCCTCTTTTATTTTTTTTTTAAATTTGGTCCTGGCTGAATGCCAACCTGATACATAAAGACTGTGAAAGGGTCAGCTGTAGTAATGCGCACTGGTAGACATTTCTTTTGGCAGGCCGAGGCCACACAAGAGCCCAAAAATCAATTCATGACCCACCCTAAATGCTATACATGGTGGCACAAGCCTATAGCCCAAGCTACTCAGGAGGATCACAGCATAGTGAGACCCTGTCTAAACAAACAAACAGGTTCTGGGTGACGTTACTTTCCTCAGGAAGATTTCAGCTACAAGGCAGGCAGATAACCTTAAACTGGCCAAGGCTGGCATTTCTGCAGGTCATTCTTCCTGGACTCGGGTTCCTAGGCACTCAGTCCCTCTGCCAGAACCCCTCTGTGTGGTAGGCTGGGTGAGGACTCCGGCTTGGGAATGGCCCCTAGTCCCTAGGAGCCTGTCCTCCCCTTTGCCCAGACACACACGCACATATACACACGCATACACACGTATGCATATACACATGCACACAAACAATTCTGCCACCTTTTCCAGATCGGCTGGTTTCCTTCGACTTACGTAGAAGAGGAGGGCATCCAGTGACGGCCGATGCAGACGCGACTCGCAGACTCTATCGGAGAGTCGCCCCCCCCCGGGCCCGA